CACTCAATTAGAGCAATGTTTCTCGGATTACAAAAAGTTTCAATAACTGGAATTGGGCGATAAAAAAAAGATTCACAGAATATGGCGCTAAATTTACGATGTAATTTGCTGGCTTGGCCTACCCAAAATTTTACCACACCAGCCGCCACTGGCCAGGATTCAAGAATTTTGATTCAGAAGAACTTGTTTCACCAAATTATGAAATTAAAACAAGGGTTACCCCGTAGAAAAGAAAAGGAATTTACTTTAATCAGAAGAGTATTGAAAAATACGATTTTGTCATTGTAACTTTAACAGAGAAGAAAGAGAACAGTAATGAAATTTGTTGGAAAAATTAAAAGGCAGTGTTAAGAGAATATTTACGAGGCAGAAGCATATTATATAACTTACCTGAGAAACTGTAGAAACCACCAGGACTCATTCGAGTTTCCAGATATAGCTGACGACAGTGTTATTTTAAAAGTGAAATTGTAGGAGTTCTCATCAATTTTTCTTCACTTCGCCATGGAATAATTAAAGGTTCATAATTATTTTTATATTTTTTAAATTATCATTTGTAACCAATATTAGAATAGATACTTTTTGTGTTATTTTTCCCAATTAAATTTTCATTTTAAACAGTTTTTATATATGTCAGCGACATCTCACGTTGTGTAACAAAGTGGAATAAAGACAATGGCTGACAAACCCACGCATAATAAAAAAATTACTGACTTAATTTATATTTCGACATCTTCTTCTTATGGTACCCTGTCCAATTAGTGGATGTTGGCGACAATTCTGGCATACTCCTCTCGATCTTGTGGCTCTAAAAAGTGCATGGGCAGCGAGGTTTGTTCAATCCCTTATGTTTTTAAGCCATGACGTATTTCTTTCTTCCGATGTCTCGTTTTCCTTCTATCTTCCCTTCCATAATAAGCTTTAAGAACTGGTACTTGGAATTTCGAAATATATGACCCAGATAAGCAGTTTTTCTTCTTTTTATTATTAGCAGCAATTCTCGTTCTTTGCCCATTCGATTTAATACTCCGACATTTGTTGTGTGATCTGTCCAGGAAATTTTAAGTAGTCTTTTAAATATCCACATTTCAAAGGCCTCCAATCGGTTTCATCACATTGGCCTTTATGGTCCAGGTTTCCATACCATATAGCACTATGGAGTAAATGTAACATTTTACAAGCGATATCGAAGCGTTAAGTTGAGGCTGTTGTTGCTTAGCAAGGTTCTCATATTAGTAAATACTGTTCTGGCTTGCTCAATCCTGCTACGTATTCAGACATAAGTCTGGTTCTAGATCTTCAGTTATCCAACTAGCGAGATATCTGAACTTGGGGACCTTTTGGATGTTCTTGTTGTTTACTCTTATATTCAATTGCATATTTCGTGTTCTACTAACCACCATTACCTTCGTATTGTCTATATTAATCTTCAAGCCCAGTTGTTATCCTTCAGTGTTTATTCTATCTATTAGTCGTTGTAGCGCTTCTTGGCTATCAGCTAATATGACTGTATCATCAGCATAGCGAAGATTACTGATAGTCTGTCCGTTGATTTTGATTCCATCTTCAGTGTCACTTAAGACTCTATCGAAAATCGTTTCAGAGTAAAGATTAAAACAGGAGGAGTGACAGAACACAACCCTGTCGTACACCTTTTTCTATTGAGAAATATGATGTAGATTCCAGTTCTACTCTCACAGATGCGACTTGATTCTTATAAAGGTTCTTTATGATTTTAAGGTCATTCTCATCTATCGAACGTTCCTGGAGCAATCTTACTAATTCTGAATGATTAACGCAATCGAATGCTTTCTGGTAATCTATAAAGCATAGGAAGACATCTTTTTGCTGATCTCTGCATTTCTGAAGTAGGACAGTTAAGCTATTAAAGTGCTTCTCTTGTGCCAAATCCTTGTCTGAAACCGAACTGTGTGGGGCTAATGTCTCTTTCACATCTGTTGTATATTCTTGTGTGAATTATCTTTAAGAAGAGTTTTAGGACCTGGCTCAATAAGCTGATCATTCGGAATTGGTCGCAACTATTAGCGTTTGGCTTTTTTGGGATTGGTATAAAGGCTGATTGAAGCCAGTCCTATAGTATTTGACCGGACCCATAAATGTCATTAAAAAGATCTACCAATGCGTCTAAATTGTCTTCACTCAACATTGTTAGAACCTCTATGTATATGTCATCTGGGCCTGGTACTCATCCACATTTGCTCTGTTTGATTGCCCTTACAACTTCTGACTTCAATATTTTGGGGGAGGGTTCACTTTTATATTCACTTTCAGAATGTCTTCTACTTGTGTCTGAGTATAGTTGCTGTGTGTAGTTGCTCCAGTGTTGAAGTAGATCTTTGAAATCAGTAATTAATTCATTGTCCTTAAATATTATTGTAATAAAATATGTTTTTTACAAAATTTTATTTCGAAAATTGTAAAATTTATTTAATTTCAAAGTTTAGCTATTCCACTTTACCCCACTTTTTCCTAGTTCAATTTACCACCCACCAAATAGCTTCTGTGCGAGCCGCATTCGTAAACAGACGAGTAATACGAGAAAAAATTGTGAATCTACCACAACTCATCGAAAAATCAAGAGAATGCAACGTCTCCATGTATCTAGGTTTCGTAAATAGCATTGTCTTTGACCAATCCTTGTTAATATGAACATCCCAAATCATCTGGTTAAACTACCACAAAGTCTATACGTAAACATTGAAGCAATCATGAGTTTGGAAAACATAAATTCCTTACGGTACTAAATTAAAAAAGACACAAGATAGTTTCACTTTCACGCTATGTATTATCCCCAAGGTTATTACAGTGAATATTTTATAGTGAAAACATAATGAAACTTGTTCCAGATGAGGGAGAAAGAGGCATTTTACTCGTAAAAGGTTAAGTCAAGCTCTCTTATATTCACTTTACGGATGACGCATTGTTCATAGTCCCACATGAGAGAGAGCTTGCATTAATACTTGACAAACTAAAAAGATTCAGCAACGAACATGGACTACGAAGTTATAAAGATTAAAAGACAAAAGTAATGATCGATAGAACCAACAATAACAGAACGGAAATTCATATCATCGCTGATTATAAAATAGTATACAGTTTTATTTATTTAGGCAGCACCATCAATATCAATGTTATCTACTGCTATGTCCAACCTCAAGAAAATATTAACAAAACACACATAAAGAAAAACACGAAGATCAGTCTTATATGAACAAGGTTTTTCAACATATAGCTATGCCTCTAAAACGTGGACCATCCAAACAAGAGAACACCTGCACAAAAATCACTATGATATTGAAGAAGAATGCTTCGAATATTATTATGAGATAGCCAGAAACATAAATACATCGCTTATTGCAGAGATGAATAATATTCACAACGTTTCTAGAGTTTCGTTTTTTTATATTAACATTCTTTTGATACCTAACGTTTACCAATAATATTGGGAGACTAGTAGCCCAAGGAAAATCCGAGGAAAGAAGAAGTCGAGGACGATCACCAACCAGACGGGCGGATAGAGTCAAAAAATTACTGAACAGGAAATTAACCACGTAAAATACTGACCAAGTTTCAACTAAGTCGTCTTTTTGGGAAAGCATACATGAAAACTAAATCTACTCTTCCTCTCAACGCAATTAATGGATTCAGGAAATGAGTAACGGATATACAATTTTCATCACATTCCATGTCAGCAACATAAGCAAATGCTATAGAGTTAGATCCCACAACAGATACCATTACCATTCTCCGTTCCCTGTAAGGTAGACCGTCGAGTAGAAAAGTTACGAAACTATATAAAAGGTATTATCCACAAACAGAGCCATCATTTTTCTTCAGCCCTAAAAAGATTGATCCAATGCTCATATACCTACGAAGCAAAGGAAAGAAAAATTTATGAAACCGAAATAACTGAAAATAAAACAATTCTATGTAGGTACTTATACCTATATTAGGTAAAAATGGAAATAAAACTGCGAAGAAATCTCGGTTCAGCCGTACTAAAAGAATTCGGTTTGAAGACTTCAATAATTAAAACAGAGATACATTACAGTGCTGCGAAAAATTTTGGTTTCGACTAGAGTGAGTTTTGGGTCACGTGTCATAGATGTAATTTGAGGGCCCATGAACTTTGTGCTGGATTTGAAAGAAAATACGATACATTTTGTGCGAAAACTATTGTCAAATTTAATTTTTTTATACATAAAATTTGATAGTTATTTTAGTGTACCTAAACAGATACGCTATTTTTTCAAAGATGTTCGTACCATAAGAAAGCCATGTGTCCATCTCAGTACAAGATGTTAAACTGTTCACGTGATATTGGAAGAAAATCCATTTTCATTTATGAGCACATTAGTATTAAGATAAGTTGAATTTAATCAATCTATCAATTTGGCCAATATTTGGCCTCAAAATATGTATGTGGTTTAGTTTATGACCTACCTTTTCGCAATACCCTGTATAATAATAATATCATGCTCATAATATTTAACTAACAACTAATAAATATTCATGCAAGATCAAAAAAATTAAATCCACATTTTAAACACAATAACTAACTACAGGTAATGTTTTTATGATAAAAAATTTTTAATTTTTTTTTAACTTGCATTTTTTGTCTTTGTGTCAAAATAGGCAACTCGTTTGATGCCGCTGAATTAACAGTTGTATATTTAGAAATAAATTCTAAAAACATTTAAATTTTTTATACCAATTATTTATTTACATTTTTTTATATTGAAATTTCGGCTACTTATAATATTTTATTCGTTTTCCATCTTTCGTAGCTAGTATTGATGATATTCTTTTATTTGACAATTGAAATGGACCAATCATGTTTCTCACTTTGCTTTTGTAGTGTACCTGTCCAGGCATTATATAAATTTTTTTCAGATTTGGATCCTGTGTTTTAGACATGTATCATGTATAATCTGTGCCCATTATAATGGAATGGAAATAAAGATGGAAAAGTAAACAACATGGCGTCAGTGCTGTCAGAAGATTTAGTTGATAATTTTTCTGATGATTCCCAATTTTCAATAGCATGGGATGAATGTTTTAGTGAAAAAAGGGATAATACCCTTACCCCTACAATTAAACAGGAAAAAACCAGGAATTTAGTTAATAATGTATTTAATAGACAGGTAGAAACAATTCTTAACCTCCAAATTACTTATGTACATAATAATGTTTATTATGTTTTAGTTATATGGTCGGTTTGCCAATAATCCCAAAGCTAAGACTGAAAGGGTGTTAAATGATATTCATCCCAAATGTAGATTTGCACTAAGCTCATTATTAAATGATCCAGAATATTTGTAAGTATTGACATTCTTTCCAGCATTAATAAGTAGTTGTAGTTTAATAAACTACTCTCAGAAATAAAGTAACTGTATGGTATGAAGAATATCCTGACCATTTCTTGCTAATAATGATAATTAGATTGAATACCTATATCTTCCAATTATTTACTGATGATTTTTCATTCAATTTAATCTTTATTACTGTCTCATATTGAATTAAAGTTTTTTTCTAAGAGTAGGCAGATATAATCTGCCAAATAATTGAATGAGGCTAAATACCAATAAAAGAAAATAGCTGTGAGTCCAAGAACGCACAAAAAGCATCATTATCAATTGCAGATGAACTATAAGCAAACAAGATAATAAAATAGATTAAGAGTTTTAAATAACTAGAAATAATCAGCAAGTTAAGCAATAAGATATTGGTTATTACTTAATAAAGTTAATAGAAAAAATTGCAACAGATCCTTAAGGAATATTTAGGAAAATTTTATGATTTACATACGCAAATGCTTTCTTTATGTTACAAAATAAACCTGCTGCCATGTTTTTCTCTTTATAGCTAAATAGAATGATTGTAGAAGGTTGAAAATATGTCATTGGAGTTTTTTCTTCATGTAATTCAAACTGACTTATCAAGAGTAAATCATGTTTATTTAGAATAAAGAATGTTTTATTTTTATACAGTTTTTCAATTATTTGTTACAAAAAAAGTATATTAGCTGTTTCAATCTGCTTGGTATTCAAAGTTGATTTATTTTTTATTTATGCAGATAATTTATATAGCCAATTTCCTGCAGTCACTAAAAACTCTTGATTAAAAAGATTAACATGTCGCTTCGCCCAAGATTGTGAGAACATTATCAGGATGTCAAGAATATATTGATATAGACATACCATCATATTCAGCACTGTTTGATTTTTTATTTTTTACACCTGGAATCACTTATTTTGTGTTTGCTTTAAAGTTTTCTATCCTTAAATAAAAGATCCCAATTAAACTGATCTTGAAATAGTGGAATCTTGTCAAAACTCATATAAATTCCTTAAAAGTGAAAAAAGTTACATTCATATCTTAACAGTTAGATCTTGTCCAAGGGTGATGCAAATAGGTGGGTGTACAATGGGTTGTACTAAATAATATTAAGGCAACACTTGTTTCAGAATCTTTTTTTAAAGCCAAATTCATAAAGCTATTGTCTGCAATTAGGAAGTAATTTTGCTGGAACCAGTTAAGAAAGCTGTCTTTCAAGGCTGTTAGTCTGGCATTAACTGCCCTGTACTGTCATATGGAATGGCTCCAATATAAATCAAGAATAATATGCAGTAGAGAATTGGATAGGTTCAGTCATCTAATGTTTCTGAGAAAGTTTAGTGCACCTATACCAAAGGTTTTGGGAAATATGTAATATATTTTATATATATATATATATTTATATATATATATATATATATATATATATTATATATTTATATATATATATATATATGTTAAATCACTAACTTCTTGATTGACTTTTTAAAAAAGATTTATTTCACAAATAAAAGTTACACTTAGTTATACGATAAAATGAAGCAAATAAAATTATATAATACAAATGTTATTAGTAAGAAACTTATATGACGAGTGAAAAATATAATGTTAGTCCTGAATTTATAATCTATCTACAAAATGTGGTGTCGGCATTTCCCACGAAAGGCCAGCTTTGGTCAGAGTTTGATGTCCGTGCATAGTCAGCTATCTCTATGGGAACGCTTGCTAAAAGAATGATGAAATAGGAACTGATATTGCGAAACCAAAGTGTCGGTAACCCTTGAGTGGTTCAAGGTGACTATTTTTCACATATAACAGCTCCCCTCATTAGTGAAAAGTCGATGCCTTGCTTCGACTTTTAAAGCTCAATTGGGGTTTCGGAGACGTCTTCATTTTCTGGGCGTACGTCTGGTCTTCTTTTAAAGGTTAATCCTTTAAGTTTCTGTTTAATGGAACTGCTGCGATGTGGTGAAGGTGGAGGTGAGTCCTGAGGGTAGTTCATGGCAAGTCTTGGAAATCTTTTGCGTCTACATTTGCAGAGGATGTATACAAAAACTAGAATGATAATTAATGATAAAGACAATATAGTGAACCAAGGCAAATGTTTTTCGATGAATGGTTGGTTCATGATTTGGTCGAGTTCTTCTGAATATTGGTCCAGCTTATGTTGTGCAATATTTAAATCGTCTGCATTTATCTTATTGAGTTGTAATGGTTTCAAATTTGGTATATGGTTTCTTCTTCCGAAATGGTCACAACATCTGTATGGAATATTAACTGGATGACTTCTGTAGGTTATATTTGGATATTTATTGATTTGATCTCTGGCGTGGACTCTGGTACTTCCAATAAATGCTGTACATTCGGGTAGTAATCTTAGAATTGTGTTTACTTTGATTGTCTGGGTACTAATGTCTTTTCTTTCACACTTGATTGTAACTGGTAATGGATCGGATACTGTTATTAACCATAAATTTCGGTCAATTTCTTGCACATTGTAATCTTGTGCTAAAAACGTCGACATCTGACAAGTTTTTGGTAGAAAGCTAACTGGTTTCAATAACTGTGCCTCACATATAGTATCGCTGTCTATTGGATAGGGAAGAATATCTGTGCACATTCTTTGATTTGGACTAATTGATTTGCATTCTTCTGTGTTTCGGGGTAATACATATGAAATTGAATCATCATCTCGCGCTATATACTTATGTATTGTAGAGAGTGTATGAAAAAGACCAGTTTGATTATCTAATATTGGTAACGAATATAAATGATATAAGGTATAGATTTCGGTGTTGACTAATGGAATTTCTAGGACGAATACAATTTTGGAATCGAGTTGATATGCTTGAAGTTTTATTATATCAATATATTGGGCTATATTTGATGTATAAATGGGCAATGGTAATACATTATTTTGTAATGATTGTGAGATAGTTTTCAATGAATCTAGTAAATCATTGGGCGAAATAATTGAACTGTGTAAAATTTGCAACCGAGAAAAGGTGATGGCGTTCAAAATGTCATTGAGATAATTTTCTAAAAATATGTAGCTTTCCATTAATGATTCACACAAATTTAAGGTTTGTAATTGTGCACGGTAAAATGATATGTCGTCTGCAATGTCTATAAGAGTGGTTTCGATATCGTTTAGGTCTTTGTTAAAAGTTTGTTCGTCTATTTGTAATTTTTGGATAGTAGTGTTAAAAGATTTTATGACAGAAGTTGTAACAGAGATTTGGTTCTTTAGGAGTGTTTCTATTTGCTTTTCATCTGTAGTGATCCTATTTATACATTGATTGAAATATTCACCGTCTGATGCGTCTAAATTTCCACTAATAGATTTCCATAAGGTTCCAACACCATTGATTAATCCTCGTTTTTGGCGTGGATTATAGGCTCGTGTGTCGGCAATTACTTCTCTATATTTTAAATTTACGGAATTAGAAATTTGTCTTATCAAACTAATGTGTGTTTGTACTTCGGATTGAAATGCAAGTTTTCTTGGAGTATCGGCCTTAGTAAATTTATCTAGCAAGTTTTCTAAAATTTTGTCGTTGTTGGATATGGCAGTTTCTATAGGGAGCAATTCCTTGTAAACAAGTAATGTCCATTTATCGTTAGATATTCGAATGGTACCTTCTTCGTGATAGAAGATTCCGACTGTATTATTAATGGGAGAGAGGTAAAATTGGGAGTAGGCGACTGAGAATAGTCCATAGAATCTGTAAAGAAGAAATTTATTCAAAATAAGGTTTCAGTCTGTCAAAATTTACTTTAGAGGTTTGGTTAGTTTTGGGGTTAAGGATAATTGCGGAATTTGTAAAAACTTCTTGAATTTCGAAAGGTCCATTAAAAAGATTATCTGATTTTGATTTAATTTGGGATTCTTTTACGTAAACTTTGTCACCAATTTTAAAATCAGGTCTTCGTTCTGAAATATTCTCGTCAAATCTTACTTTCGCCTTTTCTTTCTGTCTTTCTGTTTTTGCTTTGGCTACTTTGTAAAATATTCCATGCGATTATTCAGGTCTCGAATATATTTGCTCATTAGTGTTTTTTGATTGTATAGCGTTTCTGGTGGTCGGCTTGCAGTGTGCCCAAATATAAGTTCATATGGTGTGAAACCGTGGGTCTTATTTTTTGTGTTGTTATAGCATATTATTGCATAAGGAAGTATAGTGAAGGGATGATCGTTTGGGTTCTCGGCTTGATTTGCTCTAATCATTTCTGAGAGTGTGGCATGAAATCTTTCCACAGACCCATTAGATTGTGGATGGTTAACACTAGAAAATGTTAGTTTGATGTCGTATAATCCGCATAGATCTTTGATTATAGCATTCTCGAATTCTCGACCGCAATCACAATGAATTCTTAGTGGTGTTCCATAGTGTTGAAAGAAGAGTAGGAGTGTGTTGGCTACTGTTACTGCCTTTTTGTCTTCCAAAGGGTAGGCTTGCGTGAATTTTGTCAATTCGTCACGAATAGTTAAAGCGTAGTTTCTGGTGGGGTATTCAAATATGTCTATGTTGATCCTTTCAAATGGTGTTTTTGGTGTTTCCGTTATAACTAATGGTCCACTTAGATTTTTTCTGTAAATTTTAACCTTTTGGCAAATTTCACAGGCTTTTATATATTTTTCTACGTCTTTTGCTAAGTTCTTCCAATTATATTTTTCTTTTATACGTCTAACGGTTTCGTTTATTCCTCTGTGCAAGTTATTTTTGCCACAATGGTAATGTTCTAGGATTTGTGGGGTTTCGTCTTCGCTTGCCTGTTTAATTACATTTTGGCAGATTTTTAATTTAAGTTCTTTGTCTGCAAATATATAGGAAAATATTTCTAGAATGGGAAGTTCGAGATTGTTTTCTATGCAATAGGTCTTTGATTCGTCAAATTGTTCTTGGTTCGCATAAAGTATGAGAAATAAGTATGACATTACTCTTTGTGGATCGTAAGGTAATGGGATAATGAAATATTT